ATATTCGCCAAATGGGACCATATGATGATATGAAAAATACCATCGCCAAAAAGCTGGTTAGTTTATACTTCATCACCTTTTTAAACAACTCGTTTACATAAATAGGAGGACATAGTGTTTTGGACGATTTTGTCACCCATAATTTATCGTTCTGATGATTATGCAGCGTATTAGAGCACGAAGTTGTTTCCTTTATAAATGCTTGAATATTAGTCATAAAGATTAGATTGCCGAAGGTAAAGTCAACAAATTTCCACCCAACACTCCTGAGTTTATTGTGCAATTTGTAAATAAGAAACTGTGGTGCAATGATGCTGATAAGCGGGCTGATTTTGCTTTGCTAGGTTCCCCTACACTCCTCTGCCCTAATGGTCTGCGTTATGTTTTTTTTGCTGAAAGGTCTGCTGTGCGTTTTTCTTCAATGATTTTAAATTTGATGAAAATATGGACCACAAAGCTCTACATATACGTGAAAGTTGATCATATTTGAGCATGCTCATTTCGCTTATCCTATGAGTCTCACGTGTTTCTTCAACCCTTATAAATATCATAGAAATTGACCAGATTCTACGGGAGTATTGATGTGGTGTCAGTCTTTGCGTAAGAGGTGCGGGTGGCTGAAGGGTTCAAAGTGCTCAGCAAGAGACAACTCCTTACGTAGAGAAGGCACAGACGTACTATTTACATGTTCTCATTGTTGTTTTCATGCTACCTCGATCTTATCAGGCCTTGTACTCCCAAAGTCAGCAAATTGGTGCCAAACCTGTCAGAAAAATAGCAATACTGACACTTCGGTGTGGCACAGCAATTTATTTCAATGACCACATGCACATTCAATCACCTCTGACGATACTCATTGGAGTCGAATACAAGATGGAGATCTTAAGGACTGACCAACGCTAACACTTTCATCCTTTATGCCTTGTTTGTAAAAAAACGTTGTGCAATAGCATACGAAATTTTTTGGAGTTGACGATTTGGTAAATATCAAAGCTGCGAAAGTTCCGATTCACCCATTGAAGTAATTTCTATGCCTCTCCATTTGACCACTCTTTTATAGACCGCGCTCAGAACGATAATACTCTGATAATGATGTAGCATGTTTTATGCTGCCGAGGTTTAAGTACTAGACTGGCCCCTGTTTCGTGCTACCTGAACTCAATTGCACAGTCCCTCTAATCAGCCAATCCCTTGAGGCTAAACACCTCTATGAATGAATCGACGCCGAGCAATAAATCTCCGCAATGCAGGTGATGGAATCACCTGACACTGTAAAGACTAGCAGCCAAGCTTGTGACTGTTAAAATGAAACTAAAGGACTGTGCTACTGAGTAATCCAGGTAGGGCGAAACAAGCGCCTGCCTAGCACTTAGACCTTAAATGCTCAAAACATGTTATATTATCATCAGAGTAATTTCTGTTTTGAAATATCGTTACGCAGGCTTCATAATCAAGAGGATTGTCCCTTGCAACTCTTTGAAATTCGGAGGGTTACGTCGTCAGATATTTGTCACTTAAAAATTAACAAAATGCAAAAAAAAGCAGCACATTTAACTGATATTGTTCTAACAAAATGACCAGACTCTGTCACTCGACATCGCCTGGCTAGACAGCGCGTGACCAACGACAACAGTACTGCATATCAATTAGTTCGTCAAAGAAGGGTCTTAGTTTTAGTAGCCAATTGCCACTTTCCCATGCGCAGCGAAAACTACTTCATGATAACATCCTCAACACATCTGCTACTGAAGGCATTCGCTCGCAGTACAAGCATATGTTTTACAATGGAATATATGAGCATGTGACTCACCTGTAAAGATGTGCGGATTCGTTCCTACCTCCTCATCAACTATCAAAATTTCATCGATTAGTTGTTGAGCGTGATCAAAGATGTGCAGATATCCATCGGCTCAGTACAGAAGTTAGTTCTAGATAAAGGAACAGTTGAAGATCTTGACCAATCTTCATGCAGATAAACGTGAAGGTGTGGATGAACAGAAGACTGGTGGCGTGCCATTTGCTGTGAGCGCTAGTTTATAACATAAAACACTAGCAATGGCTCCGACTAAGAGCTTGAGTCACTAAGATAATTGGTTGCATGCCTTATGAATGTAGTTCCATGTTTTTCAGGCTAATGACGCGATAACGATCAGCGTAGCAGGTACTGTTGAGATCGACTTGCATGAAACTAGGGTCATGAAAAAAGCAAAGAAAACCGAAGCAGACATAACACAGAGCAGCGCAGAGGACGTGGAATTAAGCACAAAAATAGCGAAACCACAAAAAACAGCAAAGAAGAAGACGATCAAAGTATCACTGTGTAAAGATCCGTCTTCAAATAAACAAACTAAAAACAAAGTAGATCGCCCGATGATTGAAGGAAAACCTGCAGCTGGTAAACTACCCCCGTTAGAAATTGATTCACGAAGAGAAAAAAAGAGGTGAATGTAAAAATTCGACAGAAACCAGTACTTAGCTGAAGATCATTATTCAGTAAGTTTCGCTCTTCACGTAATTTTAAGACGGTCTATATTGCTTTTAAAAGTGCTCTTTTTTCAGAATGTCATTGGAGAAAGTAAAAAGAAGTTGCCGAAGTCGTTCAATCCTCATCTTGCTCTATTTGGGTTGAAATGCTGCCATAACAAAAGCAAACGCTGTATTGCTACTTCAATTTGAAATGAAGTTTTTTGCCTTCCACTTTCTACACCTATAATATCTGGATTCAGCTGTTTTATTCAACATATTTTTCGTTTCATCCTTCAGAAACATTGTAATTTTTTGATTAATAGAGTAGCGTAGTAGTTACACAAGCTTAGAGCTTAACTGAGAATGCTCTCCTCCCACAGATACCCAGACAACAGATGAACTTTCAATTTTTAGGTAAATCAATTTGAATTCTGTTTTCTTGGATCGAAGTGAAGACAGTCATTAGTTTACACCATAAGAATCCAGACGAGAATATATGTCATACAACTATTACTGCATGCAATAGAAATGAGATGCAAGCAAAACGGAAACGCAGTTGCTTATTTTATAGATTACATATTCCAGTATTTCGCAAAATTGCAAAGCATTCAGAAGGCCTTCCTATCTAGTGGAAAGGGACAAGAGTGGAGTTCACTGGGATTTTCAGGAGTAATGTTCTAAACATACGTAGCACAGAAAGCACTAGACTTCACAGAGTATTTTGGTAGATCATGTAAATGAATTATTGGCAATGCAATCAATGGAGAACAAAGTACATTTTATGTGAGTAAATAACACTATTCCCTGGATCACAGAGTTATTAACTTTGAAGAAGATCATTAGGTGTGCCACTCTTGAGACAAATTAGCAGATCGACTGCAATCAATTGTGATAATTAACAATTAAGAAGAAATTCCTTCGAACAATTTAATGAGACTAACATTGTGAAAAATCTGGTACTTACAATCAACCCATCGTTTCTTTGCATTAATCGGCCATGAAGGTCATTGAAGCTTTTCCCATGGATTCTACAGAAAAATTCCTTTTTGTTATGAATGTTGCCTATTGGTGGTCTGTTTTATATCGAATCTTCTTACAAGAATAAAGGACTAAAGCTCTCGGCGTCGGTCAATCTCTGAGGGATGCGCCATGCATTTGACTTCAACTTCTAGCTTCGTTTGAGGCGATTGAATGCATATCTGACCTTAACAATAACTCGCGCTAACCTCCCGCTGAACCGTGTAAGTGCTGCTCATCCTCCCAGGCAAGTCTGACACCCGTCTGGCAAAAAGTGACCGCTACCGGAAGGAAGGATGGCATGGCGTCCCATGAGCGCGAGATCGAACCTTGACCTCATGTGCGACGCACAGCACCTCTAACCACTGCGCCACATGCGTCTCACACACGAATCTTCTCATAACCCAAAAGTAATGTAAATGGAGCGCTTTTTTCAAACTATGAGGACCTGTGGCCAAATGGCTAGCGATACTCGGCGCAGCTCAATGCGCACCTGATCCCCAACTCCCTCGACACTATTCGGTAATCAATAGCAAGCGTCCTACGGAACGGACCGTCCTTGAGATATTGCAAGAGAGGTTCTCGTCCAGTACTTCTGTAACAATCACGAAGAAGACAATTCAATGAAGCGATGAAGTTGAGACGATTAGATTGTTAGAAATACTGGGATTGGCACAGTCGAAAAAAAGGACTGTTATACGATTAAAAAATTGATAATAGCATAATATAGCGTTCTCTCCTACGCTGGGGAGATAAACTAGTTCAACAGGTCCGCCAACTGTTTTCCAATCTCAAGGATGTAGGAGACTTAGTGGGCCCGGACGGGGTCAAACCAGCGCATTTGTTGGCTTGGTCGCAATGGAGGGCATGCTGTCCGTATTGGAAAAAGATCAAATCTAATTAATCTTGCCTCCCGCCTTTTTCTTTTCGATCAACAAGCGGGCTGTACATGGTCTATGATTTTCCTTCGCAAATTTAGGCATTTCCACTTCATCTACAATTTCTGCTTCTAAAGACAAATTGTAGCCTCTGCGAATAGTGGTTTTGAACCAATAAAAACCTTTTATCTTATGAATGTTGCAAACGATGTTGCAAACGAGAAGAATGTTTCGTTTTTTCAATATTGTCAACTGATAACACTTGTTATATTACATCTAATCTATTAATGAGGTAAGTAATACGCATGCGTTCAAATGATATACGTAGTCCAATGATACTCAGTGATATACAAAACTTTAACGTCAGGCGAGAATCGAACCCGCATTTCGCTATTTTCAGAGGCCCGCTTAGCCAATTACATCGCCGACGCCTCCAATCTTTCTACGCTATGACACACCAATCTGTCGGCAAAGAACCATCAACGGTTTCTCCTGATAGTCGATATTGACAGTGAACCAAACCACGCTAACAGGTATTGAATATATGTATGATCAAGCAGAACTGTTTTTATTTAGCGAATTTAAGCGATGCTATGATGTTACAGATAATCTAATGATGATAAGTGATGTGCAAAGCTTTGACATGGGGCGGGTCTCGAACCCGCATTTCACTCTTTCCAGGGGCGCGCGCTTAAGCAACTGCATTACCGACGTCAGATTTGCCATTTCTAATAACAACGCTGCAACGTATAATTCGTAGGGTATTGAATCGCAACCGATCGTATCGTAGAAGGAGTATTGACGAAACAGGCGTCAGTAGTGCGACTACTCAAGCACGCGCCGCCAAAACAGTGAAATGCTGGTTCGAGTTCCTGCTGACGTCAAAGCTTTCCACATCACTCAACATCATTGGATATATTTGTAGCAATATAAAACTGCTAGAAGCGGTTAAATAAAAATAACTTTATCTTAGCATACTTTACACATTGTCGTTCTGAAACTACTGCCAGATTTCATGCTGTTAAGTTGAAATAGCATATCTCTGTTCGCCAATCCTGGAACAAAAGCCTAACCTAATTATTGAGAGCATAAACATACCATAAAGTAAAATTCACATAAAAATGCGTGAGTATGCGAACTTTAGAAGCGTTGTAGTTTAGAACGTCTTCTATACACTTTGCTAAATGAACTCTAAAACTTTTGAAACGAAATGTAATACGAAGGGTGTTGAAAATGTGCTTGCACAGTGATCTATGCTCTAGATCAATCCCTCCGACGGCAATTATTCACTACCACCGAATTAATTGAAACATGGATGAGAGAAAGGCAGAGCGTGTGCTTGGCCTGTGTAGTGGAAAACGTAGTGCACTCACAAGAGTAGTAATCGCTGGTTCGCATCCTTAGGTTCCAGGTTTTTTCGTATTTTAGCATAGAGATGAAGATTAGGCAGTAAATATGGTTGGAAGTGCATGAGAAGGAAGTCTTGCTGACTTCTTCGCTGAAAATGCAGTCAAAGGTGGTTTATGAATTTTATTGAATTTTTGGGACTCAGAGTATAAGGTAGTTGTGCGTTACCTTTCTGATGTCGTAAGCGCCGCAAAAGTGTCGAGAGTGTAATCGTAGCTAAGTCTCATAAGATAAAATTGTAGCTGCTCAATATGGTGGAGTTTGACGCTCATTACCTTCACAAAGAGATCTTGCTTGGAAACAGTCTGAACAAGTATAACCATATATTTTGCTTGTTGGAGATTTTGCAAGATTCCTCCGAATTTGTGGTCATTTCTGTGAACAAAAATTGTCTCCTCATACCTTAAGGAGTGATTTCTGATAGGTATTGTAATCAAAAAAAATTTCCTGATTCAGGATGACATGAATCTTGACCAGGTCACTCGTGGCCATTTTGCAAGTGGTCCCCGTTGACCACATTTATTCGTTCCCGTACTTGAATTATTTCACAAAGCCAAGATCTGTATTTAATATTGACTGTATAGGAAAGAAGGAAAAATTTTTCTGAATAATGAAATTAACATAGACTGGTAAACTCTATATTCCTAGAGCATCACCAACTCTACACTGGAGTTGGGCTACCTGCTTCCTGTTTGCTCAAATGCCATGAACACTGTTATACTTCTTTTCTAAGACCTTTATAGAAATGTTCACTTATCACATCGGTAACTCTGGTGTAGTGTCTTTGATGATCTCTTAGATTAAGGCAAAGGATCTTGGCACGCAGTCATTTCTAACAGATGTTATCTGTCCACTTCACCAGGCTATCGGCACCTCCATGTACAAACGAGTGCATAGGGCATTGACTAAAGGTGCATCGCAAATGTGGTCGTTGATCTGATTCCGCACCCTGATCTCATCGTACTTTCCAGTAATTCGGGGTCAGAAAATTCGTAGCAGACTTATCTGCTAGAATGGAAACACTGACATGATACATCTTCATGAGCTAGGCTATCGCTACCGACTATAGAGATGCTTATGAGTAGCGATATATGTCAGTTAAGCTCGAGCAAGCCTAATGAAGTAAAATGCATAGAGCACTACGGAACAAATTACGAACAGCAAGAGCTTTCCTAACTTTGATGTAGGAATGTGACGCATCAGATCTTTTTAATTAATCCTCTGCTGGCGATGAGGGTCATTTTGACGCTCAAATTCTCGGAGGTCTTTTTTCGTTGAACAAAGTTTTTTTTCGACGATTCAAGTGACCATTCAAAAGCTTAAATCTTGGAAATCCCGGCACTTTGCTTATTTTCAAAAAGGCCTATGTGGTACAATGCAGCAGTGAAAGAGAAATTATATTTCACACATAGGTCGCCTTATTTGGTCCGCCAAAATCTCTGGATCGCCTTTTATTGGATCACGTTGAGCTCATCAGATACCCCAAATCTCAGCAAGTTTGAGTCATAAATAGGTCCTAAGAAAGGTTGTCGTAGCGCAGTCTTTGCATATGCCAGCTATTTATGCAAAAAGCTAAGCAAGCTTGTAGCGAATTCGTGTTCTATCAGAGTGATACAAGAAACCTAAAGTATTTTCCGAGACAAAGAAAAAAAGTCCCCGTTGAAGAACGAAAATAGCGCGCTACTGGCGATATCGATCATGCTGCCGTGCGCAAGGGGTTGAATAAAACTTCTTATCTCTTAAGCGAACTAGCAAAAAGGGATCTGTTGATCATTTGCATTCATTTTTATAGAATTTTGCAAAAAAAATTTCGACTCTTTATGATAATATCAATTGAATAACTTCCACATTTAGCCTTGAAGGAGCAGTCGTATAATTATAAATAAGTTGCTACTGGTCACAATATTTGGAAAACTATGTTAATACAAGCACTCATATTGTTTGTTTTATTCGACATGTAGGTCAAAAGCTCAACGTAGCCTTGTTGAAAATATGTTATTGAACCGTTTCACGAGGATATCTATGAGGTTGGAAACGACAACGTTAGTCCAATGTGTTAATGGTAGATTATAGGTAAAAAATTTTTCAGAATTGGTGGATGCAGTTGAAAAGCCGAATATTTGAGCAAAAAGTATAAAAGCAAACAAAAGCCTTTTTCAAAATGCGAAATTATTTGCCTGTTTCCTGAAATAGCGTTAAGCCAAATATTATTTATTCCACAGGCATCACTAACACGTCAACCATCACTGCTTGGGGTTACATCTCCTATCGTGGTCGTTGGTAATATTCACGGACAATATCGTGATTTACTGAATATAGTTGAGGTATGTGCGAAGAACCTATGAAACTTCTTGATTTCCTCTTTCGAGAAATTGCAACGATTTTCACATGTTACAAGGCAACAACTTCCCATATTCACTTATCCTCACATCACCGATCAAATTCCAGCAAATCTTGCACACGATTTCCTTGCTTACATTTCTCAAGTGCAAACGTACTCGGGTTTTTATGTGTGACATCGCTGTTGCTTGAAGGCTTTTTTCGGTTCCATATGAATGTTGTTGAATATCGTCTAGTCGACTATCTCAAGGGTGCTAAAATATCCATATCTAAGTGTTTCGAAGTGGATTGAAGTTGATGAGCCGATACCTGCCTAGTCTTGGACCAGTTCGGGAACTCTTGAAGAATGAGAAGTTTGCTGATCTCTGTGTGGAGTCATACTATCAGAATTGTTCACATCTAATACATGCAATATCGGAGATATAGGTGTGACAATGAAAACGAGCTTTTTACCATCTCTGGTATTCTCAAACGTTTGTGGAACCAGCTCTTGTGTGTGATGAAGCCTGCTACAAGAGAAGAAACCCCTTTTCTAACATACTACTGACTATGGTGGAAACTGCAGAACACCTAGTACAGTTAGCTTGAAATTTTATGTGATATTATATTCAACACTAAAAATCAGTATGCAGAACCTTTTGATCCTATCGGTAACGATGTATCAGCGATAAGCCATGACGACCATCTCAAATTGTACACACTTATATGAGCTCTTTCTCAAACTTTTGTTCTGTCATCTATGAGACAATCCAAGTTGAATGCAATTTTCCGTCAATAAACAATAACTATGTAGCTACATGTGTGTGAAGTTTATTATCCTTTACTCTACACCATGTATTTTCCATAGATATCTTCATTTAGAAAAAAAAAGGCAGGTCAGACTGTCATTTGGAGGACGAAATCATTGTGTGCGATCTCAAACTTTTGAAGAATACTTCGACACCACTTCACAGAGGCGATGGACTGGAACGAGCGAGCCGCTGTGTGTTGTAAGGCACCTCTAAACATTGCCCCACAAGCGCCCTTGAGTTTTTAGATACACCGTTGCGCTGACTCGGAAATTCATTCGACGTGTGCAGGTCTGAGGCAGAACATGAAAGCGATCATTCGTTAGAGATTACTATTAGACTAAATGAAAAGGAGACTTATGAAATTTTGAACTCTAAACATCAAACGTAATAGGAATTTAAGTAATAACCCTTCGCACCCATTCTTGAATGCGAGTTAATTGATGGCGAAGCAATTGAAATCAATCGCGCCATGGTACCTGTGCAACAAGAGAAAAAATATTGTTCCTGGTCGAAGGAATACAACGCAGCATTTTGAAGGAAAAGTCGTCCGAAAAGTCATGGGACATTGAGATTAGAGCCCAGCCAAATTTGGTCCATATATCAAGCGCCAGAATTGGAAATGTACAACAATAATTTTTGCTCAGCCAAATTTGGTCTGTGTCAAAGGTCAGAATTGCAAATGAACAACAACAGTGGCCGCAGCGATTTTTGAGCAGGCTGCAGCGCATGCGTGTTCCGAGAAAGTAAAAAAATCTAATAATAGTCGGAATAATTAATTCGCTTCGTGGAGGTAAACTCCCAATCCTGACCTCACGTCGGTGATAAAAAAGTGTTCTAAAATATTGATGGAAACCTATACAGGTACTTCAAAGTGGACGATAATATCTTTTCATGCGCCGTCCTTCAGAAATGTGGTTGGCCATTCGAAACGTGGTATCTGTTTCTGGGCGACTCTGTCGATGATGAGAGGTTGCCTAAACAACGTGCAAAAAATACTGTTTTTTAAAATAGGAACTGAACCATTTTTGTAATAGTTTGCATGAATTTGAATGGATACAAACCGTGGAATATGTATGGGTTTGGCACCACCGTGGGAATCCTCTGACGAGCAATATTGCTCTATTAACTATAAGTTTTCATGATATCTATCAGTTTATAACAAATTGTAGGAGAAAAA